GGCTGTCTTTGTTGTTGTTGTTCCTCAAGTTCTTGTAGGTGTGGGGTTAGGTTGTTGGAAATATTTCTATCTTATACCTAGGTATTTTTTGATGCAATGTAAATTAGATTGTTTTCTAAACTTCTCTTTCTGGTAAGTTATTGGTAAATAAAAATCCAATTTCTGAATGTTAATTTAGTGTCCTACTATAGTACTAAATTAATTTATCAGGTTTAATAGCTTTTTTTTTGGTGGGAACTGTAGGGTTCTATCTATACAATACCACGTCATCTACTAATAATGACAGGTTTACTTTTTCCTTTGTTTTTATATATTTTTTCTTTCTCTGATTGCTGTGCATAGAATTTCCAATGCTATTTTGAATAAAAAGTGATGGAAGTAAACATCCTTGTCTTTTTCCAGACCTTAAGGAAAACTGTTTTAGATTTTCCTGTTTAGTATGATGTTTACTGTGAGCTTGTCATATATGGTTTTTATTATTCTGAAGTATGTTCCCACTATTCCAACTTTGCTGAAAATTTTTATTATAAATGGATGCTGTGTTTTGTGCAATCTTTTCCTGCATTATTGATAGGATCATATGATTTTTATCCTTCATTTTGTTTATGTGTAGTATCACATTTATTGATTTGAGAATATTCAAGCAACATGGCATCCTAGAAATAAATACCAATTGATCACTGTATGTACTCTTTTTAAAACATTGCTAGATTCAGTTGCTAATATTTGAGGATTTTTGCATTTATGTTCATCAGGAATATTGGTATAGTATTTCCTTTTTTGGCAATATCTTTGTCTAGTTTTGGATCTAGGTAGCCTCATAAAATAAGCTTGAAAGCCTTCTCTCCTCTTGAATTTTTTGGAATAGTTTGTGAAAAATAGGTGTTCATTCTTCTTTGAATTATGGTAAAATTCATTTGTAAAGCCAAGCTGTCCTGGACTTTTGTTTTTTGCGTGTTTTTGATTAGTAATTTAATATCCTTGGTTGTAACTGGTCTGTTCAAATTTTCTCTTTCTTCTTTTGAAATTTCATTTCATTTAAAAAATTTTTATTGTATGTTTTCTTCTTAATTCAGTTCTGCAAGACTGTATGTTTCTAGGAATTAATGCATTTCTTCTAGACTGCCCAGTTTGTTGGCATATTTTGTTATAACCCTTTGTATTTCTGTGATGTCATTTGCAACTTTTCTCTTATTTCTGATTTTATTTGATTTTTTCTTTTTTAAATATATTTTATTAATTATGCCATTACAGTTGTTCTATTCTCCCCTTCATTCCCGTCCATCCTGCACACCCCCTCCCCCACCATTCCCCCCTTTAGTCTATGACCATGTGCCTCAAGTTTTCTAGATTCTATATTTCCCATACTATTCTTGCCCTCCTGTCTATCTATTTTCTACCTACCATCTATGCTACTTATTTTCTGTACCTTCTCCCCCCATCTCCTTCTCCCACTCCCCTGTTGCTAACCTTCCATGTGATCTTCATTTCTATGGTTCTGCTACTGATCTAGCTGTCCTCTTAGTTTGCTTTCGTTTTAGGTGTGGTTCTTAATAACTGTGAGTTTGATGTCCTTTCACTGTTCATCTTTTTTATCTTCTTTTTCTCAGCTAAGTCCCTTTAACATTTCATATAATAAGGGCTTGGTGATGATGAACTTCTTGAATTTGATCTTATCTGAGAAGCACCTTATCTGTCCTTCCATTCTAAATGAAAGTTTTGCTGGATAGAGTAATCTTGGTTGTAGGTCTTTGGATTTCATGACTTGGAATACCTTTTTCCAGCCCCTTCTTGCCTGGAAGGTCTCTTTTGAGAAATCAGCTGACAGTCTGATGGGAACTACTTTGTAGGTGACTGTCCCCTTAGCTCTTGCTGCTTCTGGGATTCTCTCCTTCATTTTAATTTTGGCTAATGTAATTATGATGTGCCTTGGTGTGTTTCTTCTTGGGTCCAACTTCTTTGGGACTCTCTGAGCTTCCTGGATTTCCTGGAAGTGTATTTCCTTTGCCAGATTGGGGAAATTCTCCTTTATTATTTGTTCAAATAAGTTTTCCACTGGTGGCTGTGCCTTTCCCCCTTCTGGTACCCCTATAATTCGGATGTTGGAGCGTTTAAAGATGTCCTGGAGGTTCCTAAGTCTCTTCTCATTTTTTAAAATTCTTGTTTCTTCATATTTTCCTGTTTGGCCATTATTTTCTTCCTTGTGGTTCACTCCCTTGATTTGAGTCCCAGTTTCCTCTTCATCACTATTGGTTTCCTGTGCATTTCCCTTCATTTCAATTAGTTTAGCCTTCATATGTTCCTCTAATTTGTGACTATAATCAACCAGTTCTGTGAGCATCCTGATCACCAGTGTTTTGAACTGTGTATCTGAAAGTTTTGCTATTTCTTTGTTGCTTAGATTTATGGGCTCTGGGGCTTTAAGATCTTCTTGAGCCATTTTTGGTCTGTTCATGCCCGTTAATTATGAGGAACGAAGCCTTAGACATTTACCAGGGCGGGGGGCGCCCAGGTCGCTGAGTTGCTAAGCTGTATGTGGGGGTGGGGTCAGAGTGGGGAAATTGCAATCCCCTCTGCTGCTTCTTGCCGCTGTGGCGTGCTCAGTCCGGTCGTCTCACCACCGTTTCCTTCGCTGGTTTATCTGCACACAAATGCGGGACCACAGTTAACCCGCCACCCTGCACCCTCACTGGGTACACCAGTCGCTCACTGGGTCTTCCCTTTGCAACCCCATGCCTGGGATCCGCGCGTCTGAGTCCATCTGACCGAGTTTTCCTGTGCAATCCTGCTCCGCCAGCTGCTGGCTTTGCCCCTCTTACTCGTCAGGCTGAAGAATTTGTTGTTATCAGACTTCCGAAAAGTTCAGTTTTCTGTATTCTGGTGCTAATATTTTGTTGTCTATCAACTTGATTGTGGGAGAAATCACAGCGTCTGCACCTATGCCTCCATCTTGGCGGAAGTCTCTCTCTTTTTTTTCTTGACGAGTCTGTTTATACTTAAAGGTTGATCGATCTTCTTTATTTTTTGAAAAACCCAGCTCATGGTTTCACTGATTTTTTATATTATTTTTCAGGCTGTTTTTCATTGATTTCTATTCTGATTTTTATCATTTCCTTCCTTCTACTAACTTTAGCTTTATTTGTTTTTCCTTTTCTTGTTCTATTAGGTGTAAGGTCAGATTGCTCACTTAAAATTTTTTATTGCTTTTTAAGATTGGCCTGCATTGTTATGCATTTCCCTCTAAGGTCTGCTTTTGCTGTGTCCCATAGATTTTTGGGTTGCTGTCCTATTTTTATTTGTCAGTTAATGAATGACATTTATACCTAGGCAGAGAATCCAGGGTGGCAACCCTGTTTTTTCTATATTCATTAAGGTTCCTAGTGGGAGAAGACCACAATATTTGGCTAGAGTAAAACACTGATCATCCCCATTTTGTATACATTTGGTTGGCAGGCACTATGATGAGGAAGGCTTATTTTAACCCCAGTACATGGTCTTCCATCCAGATGCTCTTGGAATTCCCATAGCTTACTCACAGGTTTTGAAACAGACCTGTAAGATAGTAGCATCTGGATGGTAACAGATCACTTTCAGACAGAAAGGCTGAATCAAAGGCTTAGAGGGTGTTTTGGCTATTTCCTAAGGTCTAAACAAAATTGTTGGTTGACAGTCTCTGGCTACTGTTGGTCCTTTGAGACTTCAAAGTCCCTTCTTTGCAGTTTGACGTTTGAATCTCTGTATGCAACATCACCTTGAACCTTAACCATTCCTGCTCATCACTAGCCAGAGTGGTCTTTCCTGCAATATAACAGCTCTGTTCTGGTTGACAGAGATGATCACGGTAGGTCTGTGAGGACTGGGATCATTTCTTCCCTGAACAAAGGTCCTTTAAAGATTCTGGTTCCTTAGGATCCCTTGAGTTTCATATTCTCTTCCATATACCCTGGCTGTGTGGAGAGGGCAGCTGATCTCACAAAATCATGACAATGAGGAAACCTGAGGGAAGAGCAGCAAGAGAAGGGCCACCAGGCAGTGGTGAGGATGGGGACACTGGCTCTAAGTTCAGAGGGGCAATGGATACTGTACAAACCTTCCATTCAAGGACTAACTGCAGGTCAGAGAGCATGGCTGGGTGATCCTTCAAGAATATGTGTGTATTAAGCTTTGAAGGGTTTCTCTTTACCTGTCCCTACTACTTGACTCTACAGTTCCTGGACCATCCTGTCGAACTACAATGCTACCACCAGAATTAGTCTTTCTCATCAAGAGTACTGAAATATTTCTCAAATGTTTTTTTCAGCTTTACTATGTGTAGGGCCCTGTGGTGCTCTTGAAAGCAGCTGATTAAGAGTTACTCTTTGTCGCTCTTACCTCTTTATAACTGATGGCAGTTTACTGTTATATTTATATACTGCAATCATGTCCCTTAACCTAACAAAGAAAATTACAAAGCTAGAGAATAAAAGAACAAAATAGAAGAACTGGGAAAATGAGTTGGATCAGTCACAAAATGACTTGGTAGACAGTTGGAAAGGAATCTCTTGAGTGACCTCTGAAAACCTACAAAACAATGGTACAGAGAAGCATTGGCAAACAATGGTCCAGGCACAATGGCCTATTTTTGTAAACAGATTTTTACTGGCATACAGCCATACTCACTTGTGTAATATTGTCTGCTTTTGTGCTATATAGGCTGATCTGAGTAGTTGTGACAGCAAACATGTGATCTGTAAAGCTTAAAATATTTACTATCTGGTCCTTTCTTAGAAAAAGTTGGCTCTTGCCGACTGGTCTAGAGATAAAGATATTAGAAATTCTTTGATTCTGACAGAAAAATTCTAAATTCTGATTTGGCAGTACTACTATACCATAGATCCCATAGGTCACATGTGTTATTTCTCAAAGATTTCGCTGCTGAGGAACAGAGGCATTATTACCCAGTTTTCAGAGGTAAAAACATAGTCACCATTAACTCAGAAATTGTTTCATTCTTATTCTAGAAACTGGATGGTGAAAAACCAGCATGAAGTTTGTAAGTTTGTTTTCACTTTTTCTGCTTATAATTTTGCAAACTGATTTTGGAGAAAATGAGGAAAATCCTAGGAAGCAAAGGAAGATGTATAACAGAAGACTGAAGAAAATTTCTTCCCCTGTGCACAGATCCAGTAGACAGCTTAGAATACAGCAAATAATGATGGTGACGCCAACAGCAAAACTTCCCATGGTTAACTTGGATTATAGCACAGAGAAGTTTGAATCCTTTTTAAGTTTTCTTGGAGTAGAATCAAGCTATAATGTACTACCAGGTAAGGAAACAGTACTAGAGATGGGCGGGGGGGAGAGAAAGAACCTCCATGAAGATAATTTTTTAAAAACTCAACTTATCTTTTGGTTTAATCTATGAAGATAAGTTTTCAATTGATTAAAAAAATCATTCATAGAATGCACTTATAAAATTATTGGAAAAAAGACAAACTAATTAATTTTCCTACAACTACACTTATAAAACCATAGTTACTATTTTGTTTTATTTATTTCTAGCCTGTTTAGTCTGTCATGTATTTTAAATAGCTGTAACCATAACATAGAAAACATATACATAAATTTGTAAACTGCCTTTTCACTTGTAATGATATGCCATTAGGTAATAGAAACAAACAATTTAGATGATTCTATGAACACATGGCTATTAAATATTTTCAATAAAAATTTTTCAACAAAAATGGAATTAAGTTATTTCATTTTATACAGACTAAATTACTAAATTTTTAACAGTTGAAGGAATTAAAAATTCTGCCAAATATTTCAACTAGGCATTTTTAAGAACTAGTATTTAATGGTCGACATTTTTGCAGACTTGGAAGGAAAAAGTAATTATACTATACATATGTTACCATTGCATAAAACTTTCAAAAGACAAAAGAAAATATCACCATATTATATTCCACTCAAGAATGAGTGGCCAATACTTCATGTATTGTCTCTAGAAAACGAATGCTTCTATATGATGGTAAGAGAAATAAATCTTCTCTATAAAGTTAAGGGAAATAAATTTTCTATGCAAATATACAACTAAGATCACATGCACAGCATAATTGTGAGAAAAGTCAGAGGCAGGAAAATCTGCTAAGAAGATATGATAATAGTGTACCCATAACTCCTAAAGAATAATGAAGTCAACTTTCCTAATTATTTGGAATGATATCCAAGCTGTAATAGGAAACAAAAAGGTTGAAAAGTAGTATGTATAATGTGATCTAAAATCTGTTTAAAAATATGTAATATAGGGAAGTGTGCATAAAAACACATAGCTGTATACTAAACATTTCTCAGTTGCCCTAAAATGTTTTCCAGTGGTCTTACAGCACTTTTAAAAAAATCATAGTAAAATACACTTAAAACAAAACTTACCATTTAACATTATAAAGTATATAAACCCTCACTGGTGTGGCTTAGTGGATTGAGTGTTGGCGAGCAAACCAAAGGGTAGCTGGTTTGATTCCCAGTCAAGGCACAAGCCTGGGTTTTGGGCCAGGCCACCAGTGGAGGTGTGTGCAAGACGCAGCTGGTCAATGACTCTCACATGTTGTTGTTTCTCTCCCTCTCTTTCTACCTCCTTTCCCCTCTCTCTAAAAATAAATAAATAAAATCTTAAAAAATTAATATTATAAAGTAAACAATTCAGTGGCATTTAGTACACTATGCTGTGTAACAATTATCACATATCTAGTTTCTGAACACTTTCTTCACCCCAAAAGGAAACTCCATACATATTAAGCAGTCACTCCCCATTTCTCCCTAACTCAGCCCCTGGCAACTACTAATCTGTCTCTAAAATATTCCTATTCTAGATGCATCATATTAAAGGAGTCATATAATGTACAGCCTTTCATATCTGGCTTCTGTCACTTAGAATAAAGACTTCAAGGGTCATCCATGTTGTAGCATGTCAGTACTTCATTTTTATGGCTGAATAATATTTTACTATACATTCATTTATTCATTCATCTGTTGATGGACATTTGTGTTGTTTCTAATTTTGGCTACACTGTAAATACCACAGCTATAAACACTTGTGAACAAGTTTCTATTTGAACTCCTGCGTTCAATTTTCTCAGGCATATACTTAGAAATGGAATATGGAGTACCTAGGAGCTGAGACATATGATCATTTTAACTTACTGAGGAACCACCAAGTGTTTTCTACAAAGGTGACAGATACCATTTTACATACTGACCAACAATATTCAAAGATTCCAACTTCTCTTCATCCTTGACATTTGTTATTTTTCATTTTTTAAAATGCAGTCATTCTTGTGAATGTAAAGTGGCATTTTAATGTACATTTCCCTAATGACTAATGATGTTGAACATCTTTTTATGTGTTTATTTCCCACTGTATATCATCTTCTGAGAAATATGTACTCAAGCCCTTTGCCTAGTTTTTAATTGGGTTGTTTGTCTTTCTGTTAAGTTATGAGTTCTGTATATATGATTTGCAAATATCTCTCCCATTGTGTACACTTTCCTTTTACTTTCTTGACATTATCCTTTGATGTATCAAAATTTTAATTTTGATAAAGTCCAATTTATTCTTTGCTGCTTGTGCTTTTGGAATCATATCTAAAAATTCAAGGTCATGGAGATTTACACCTATGTGTTTTTCTATGAGTACTGTAGTTTTACCTCTTCTATTTAGGTTTTTGATTCATTTTGAGTTTAATTCTTGTATTTGGTGTGAAGTAGTAGAAAACTTCATTCTTTTGCATGTGGATATCCAGTTGTCCCAGCACCATTTGGTGAAGAGACTATTTTTTTCCCCTTATTGAATGGTCTTCATACTCTGGTCAAAAATCATTTGCCCATATGTGCGGTTTATTTCTGGACTCTCACTATCCCATTAGTCTACATGCTTATCCTTATGCCACACTGCCATAAGCTGATTATTGCAGCTTTGTACTAATTTTTGAAAAAAGTGTGAGTGTTTCAATTTTGTTCTTTTTTTAAAGTTTGGTGGGGTTTTTTTTGGCAATTTGGGGCCCTTTGTAACTCCATATGAATTTGAGGATGAAATTTTACATTTCTGCACAAAAACAAAAAAGGCTGTTGGAATTTTGATAGAATCTTGTATTTTTGTAGTCAGGAAGAAAATTACACGAATCAATTTTTTTTCCTGGGGAGGAATTTGGTGCGCAGGATTAGTCTACGGCAAGTACCCAAATGAAAGCTGGGTAGGGCTGGCATTGGACTGACACAGTGATGGCAAAAAGGACAGGACAAATGTGTGAGCTCATTTGGAGTTATAATCTGGGGACAATAGCTCATCAGAGAGAAAGTTAATAGAAATGACGCTAGGATCAGAAGAAAAATGTTCCCTGTAATATTCAAATCAGCTGACTACTGGCCTGCTTAGCTGACATACTTATCCACACATCTTCTCCTGTAAAACTTAGCCACCCTGACAGATACAGGATGAAAGCGCAATTCACAGTCAAGTTACAATGAGGAGGTCACTCCAGAACCTAAGTGGAAGATGTTGAGAGCAGTGCACATGAAAGCATTTCAGAAGGTTACATTTATAAGATATTTTACCCCAAGCATGAATGCACACAGAATGCTATTCTTGTATGGTCCTAACCATTTGACTTCACATTGTGCTCATGTACATTCACAGGTGCTGGTAACCAGTCTCAGAATTTAAATGTCTTATGTTCTCTCCTAGGAAAGAAGGGACACTGTTTGGTAAATGGAATGATCATGTACAACAAAGCTGTATGGTCTCCTGAGCTCTGCACTACCTGCCTCTGCTCAAATGGAAGAGTGCTTTGTGATAAAACTATGTGCCATCCTCAGAGGTGCCCCAAAACAATTACACCTGAAGGAGAATGCTGCCCAGTCTGCTCTGATACTGGTATAAATATTTATATCACATGTAATTTAGTCCTTAAGTTCCACTTGTTTTTATTTTGTTACTTACCTTAAGTTTTAAAGTATGATGAATCAGTCATCAGGGTACTTAAAATATTTGCACAGTTATGATAAACATAGAAGTTACTGGGGAAAACTTATAATAGGGAACAGAAATAAATCTTGGCATTACAGTTGTAGCTCTAGCAGAATGAGTAAGCTTGGACTACATTACATCACACATTTGGCTCTCAGCTTTAGGAATGTAGTGATAGAATTTATATAGCCAATAGTCCCTGAGTTGTTAGTTTGCATAAGGGGCTCTGCTTGGCTCTTTAACTGCATTATCTCACTAATCCAACTCAGTGTGGGTACAATTATTATCCCAAACAAAGATGAGGAACTGATAGTGAACAAAAGAGGAATGGTTTGAATCTAGAGAGAATAAATCCCAACTCTCCAGTTTATTTGGAGCAACTGCTTTTCCTTATGGCACTGCTGTTTACAGGAAAGTCACGCTATGAGGTTTTGTTGGCTGCTCACTGTCCCCTTATCCTATGAGGCTCATACCTGATGGAGTTGGGAATCCTTAGGAGGAAGACTCAGGTCTCCTCCAAGAAAAGCGTAGCCCATGCCTTATGAAATAAGTTAAATAATTTATAGGAAGGGATTGGGATGTTTTCTCTTGTCTGTGATCAAGGGTGATCACAGGGTATCTACAAAAGTCCCTTGCTAGGAAGAACTTTAGAATATTTAGGAACTGTATTTTGGTGGATGGTACCAGTTATTTTACTACGGTATTTATGACTTTTAAAGTGTTAGAAAATAAAAGTATTTAATAAAACTGACTCCTTGGGGGTGAAAACCACAAGACTCATAAATGAAAGGTTCAGAAATTCTGAAACATTTTTCAAAGGACTGGAATTATTCTTAAAATGTTGTGGTTATTTTGAAAAAATAAACTTGGATATACAGGAAGTATTTTAGATGTTTTCTCCTTCTGTATTTTCTGCCAGAGATGTGAGAAAAATAACTTTATAATATATACTATATTGAAGTCTCAAATACTCCTTCAAATAATTATATTTTCTGAGTTCTTTGTGGATGATTTATATGTAGTATTAAATACAATATATAGCAAGGAGATAGGTGAGTCTGCAGTATGAAATAACTAAAAGACTTTACAATATACACTAAATTGAAATCTCAAGTAATTGTCCAAATAATTATATTTTCTGAGTTCTTTGTGAATGATTTATATATATTATTAAATACTATATAAAGCAAGGCAATAGGTAAGTCTGAAGTACGGTCTCAGTCACATCTTCCCGACTTTAGCCAAAGTATTAACAGCTAAATACAAATGTAGATGAACCTTCTACTACATACAGAGTTAGGCAAAAGAGGGTTTACAATTGTTTGTATGGAGAAAGATAAATAATACAAATAAATACTATAATAATTAATAAATAAATCAATAATATAACTCACAACTGTAACCTACTTTTTGTCTGCCCTATATTTATGCTCTTGTCATCATGGAATAACTAAAAAGCACCCTCATGCATATGTCTAGGTTAATTAAGTCCAGATGTTTTCTTTGAGTCTCAGGAAGCAAAAATGATTTAAGTAGAGTCTGGGAGAAAAGAAAAACTTTCTATCGAAGAATGCTTTTAGATTAACGGAGCTAAAAGAAAATTGGATAAAAATAATAATACTATAACCAAAAGCCAATTTCACTACCATAAATAAAATACGCATTTACTTTTTTATGTCCAACAGTGTACAATTTCTTGCATTATTAGTAACCCTTATTAACTAAACAGTATCTATTATAGAGGTGTCATATCTGACTATGTTGCAATCTCACAATAGGACTGCTTCCCCATTTTGCATCATGTGTGGTAATATTATTCCCTCTTTAGTTACCGAGTAGCATGATACTTCAGTACAAGTAAATAGTAAAATCTCAGGCAAAACAAATATTATCTACAATAGAATTTATAGAATAAGATTATAATTAAAACTACTTAAACAAAGATTTCAAGAAGCACTTCATGTTTAAAGTGCATACAAAAGTACCTGGAGGGAATAATATTTATTAACCTCATTTTTGCTGTGATTCTTCCTTTTATTAATATCACAATATGCCCCTGCTGCCTACTTCTTGCATGGTCAGTGTAGTCTCTTACCTGCTACTCAGTGATAGAGCATTAAATGACAGAACTGAATTTTCTGGTGATTCTTCAGAACAAAGAGAAACTACTAACTTACGCCATAAGCAACGACCACCATCTCAGGTGGAAATGGATCAAACATTGAGAAAAGAGGAACTTCAATTTGAGGAGTCTAAAGAAATGAACGAAAATGAACATAGAAAGCAAAAGATCCCTGGAACTGGAGATGGGGAGAGACTTACCACTGAGGGGCAGAGCAGAGAAGGGGAAGAGCAGAGACTTGCAGAGGATCGGAGGCAAGCTCATCATCATGGAAGCACAGAAAGACAGGAGAAGGAGGAGAAGGAAGAGGAGGACTACAAGGATGAGTATGAGACCATTACAGGAGATGTTTTCAGGATTCTGCCTCAACTCCCTGTCCCTGCTCCTCCCAGAGGCATGCCTCCTCTGCCAAGTGGGTGCTCTCTGTCCTACAGGACCATCAGCTGCAACAGTGCTGACCTCACACAGATACCACCACTAACAGCACCAGAGATAACAAGTCTAGAGCTCCCAGGTAAGAGATGCTGATGTCTGTTTTAGTTTATGTTTTAAAAGTACATAACTTTCTTTGCCCCATGAATGTTATATTTTAATTTCATAATATAAATTGACTCCAGACTATTTTCACAATCTTCAAACATACAAACTTTGCAGAAGAGGTAGGTGTTTACTACAATATAGCATAATTAGGTATAAAGCATATTCCTCCAAATAAAACCATGATTTCCCTTGGACTTTTTCTTAAAGTCATCTTTACTGAACTATAATTTATATGTAGTAAAACTTACTTTTAGCATGTTATTGAATTTTGACATAGGCAAACTAATTAATCAGGTAACTAATGCCACTATCAATATACAGAATATTTCCTCACCTCCCCCAATTCCCTCATGACCTTCCTCTCATCCTGGGCACCAGGATGTGTTCTGTGTCTATAGTTTTGCCTTTTCCAGTATGTCATAGAAATAGAATCATTCAGTACATAGCCTTTTCAGTTGGGCTTCTTTCACTTATTACACTGCTTTTAAAGGTCATACAGGTTGTTCCATTTATCAGTATCATGCTCCTCCATATTATTGAGCCATTATTTGAATGACCCACAGGTACCAGTTAAAAGACATGTGGATTATTTCTAGTTTGGGGCAATTATGTATACAGTTGTTATAAACATCCACATACAGATGTCTGTGAGGACCAAAGTTTTCTTTCCCCTACAAAACATATTCGGGAGTAGGGCCTCTGAGTTACACAATAAACACGTTTAACTCGGTGAGAAACTACTGAAGAGTCTCTAAAGAGGCTGTGGCATTCTTGCCAGCAATATCAGAGAGGCCCTGCCATTCTGCTTCTGGTCAGCTATTTTCCACCTCATGTCAGTCATTCTAATGGACATGGAGTGGTTCAAACCTTTTACTCATGTTTTTATAGGCCTACCTGGAAAGGTTCTGAGGAGAACAGCATGACCCAGTGTGTATGTGAGGCTGGCTGGCAGGGAGACTGGGCCAATGAACAAGGGTGGTATGGCTCTTGAGAGGTGGCCCTGCAGATGCAGGGCGACAGAATTTCAGTGGGGTTTCAGGTATGTCTTGGGGGAAATCATTTTAAAAACCCACCATCAAAATAATAAATTATCATATAACTACTCAATAGGAAAAGTCCAATACCTTTGTTCAGGATGGGAATCTGTGATGGGACACCACCAACGTCATGGTCTTCCTGACATGATGCTCTTGTAACCTCCAGTAGCATTTTTTCTTATACCCAGAGACTTGTGCTCCAGCAATGCCCCTTCCTCCTGTGGCCTGCATGCCAGATGTGGTCTGCCATAAGAAAGCTCAATTTGTGCCCTGGCTGGTGTAGCTCAGTGGATTGAGTGTGGGCCTGCAAACCAAAGGATCTTGGTTTGATTCCCAGTCGGGGCGCATGCCTGGGTTGGCCAGTTCCCAGCAGGGAATGCACAAGAGGCAACCATACATTGATATTTCTCTCCCTCTCTCCTTCCCTTCTCCTCTAAAAATAAATAAAATCTTAAAAAAAAAAAAAGAAAGCTCAATTTGTGAAAGTCTAAAGTTTTAGGAAAGATAAAAGATCTGTGCTCAGTCACACTATCTTGGTTTTACAAGAAGGCTACCATGTGGTTTATGTAGTACTGTTTCTGGTAAGCTCATTTTCTGAGTCTAAAATCACTGACTACTGTACTTAGCTGAATGTCAAAACAAAAAACCATAAATTTAAGGCATATAGGAACTTCTGTAGATTAAAGTCATAGAAGTAAAACATTAGATCTGGAGGTGATCTGAGAAATCATCTCCCCAAGCTGTTTATTTAGAAAAGAAAACTTTCGCTCAGAAAAGGTTAAGTGACATACCCAAGGTTTTATTAGTTAATAATAGTATCATATTTCTGAACTAAGTTGTCCAAAATATCAATGGGAAAATATGAAGAACTATAAAAATCAGTCTTCACATAAACTTCCAGAAACAAACTTTGTTATAAAATGCATAATAGTAACAGAATTGTTTAGCAAACTGCATTCTGGTTGTTTTAAACACTTTTTGTAAAACATGATGTACTAGAGCATGTCAGGTCTTTAGAGTGAAAATTTTGACTATGTGAAACAGTCCAGTCCCAGTCTGGTTATTTTTTTTAACGTACTTGCTTATATAACATATACTCTGTCCTTGTTATGAGTATTCCTTTCTCCTACAGATAAAACTCTCTTTTGCTATGTGTGCATGTGAACATGTATGTATGCATGCATGTGCATGTATTGGTACATAGGTCTAAAAATTAACTGCTCCATGTCCTAGGCAATTCCATCATCTCCATTCCAGATGAAGCATTTAATGGATTACCAAATTTGGAAAGGCTTGACTTGAGCAAAAATAATATCACCTCTTCAGGCATAGGTCCCAAAGCACTCAAGGTAAACACATTCTTTGATTTGGGAATAACAATTGATTTAGACAACTGACCCGTGACTTGTACTAGTGGTGAGTGGGTGGAGATGGGGAAGGGAGAAAAAGTTAAATGTTTTAACTGCTAATTTTCTCCTAAGTTAAACTTTCCTCCCCAATGTCCCTAAATTATATTCAAGTTTTATCTCAAATAGAGACTGTTTCACATGTTTCTGGCTGGTTTTTCTATACTTCATCCTTAAAGTACCAACAACAGCATCCATGATGAACAAATGTTTTAAATTCAGGAGTAGTTTTCCCCTAAGTAGCTGTAAAGATGTTGAAATATGGTCTCTTAGTGCAGGAGGTATCCCTGGAAATAAAGGATAGCTTTATCTGGAAACACTATGAATATTTTGAGGCCAGCAAGTCAGAGTTTCCCTATTTTGCGCCATGGCAACATCTGATGAAGGGATACTTTAGCAAAAAGGGGTTCTGAAAAAAATAAATAGACTCAGATGAAAACTGTCATGGGGATAGGTTGGAGAAAAAAGAGGGGGAAGCAGAGAAGATGGGGAATAGCACAGAATAAATTTCTGAAAGACTCAGATTTGACAATTTTTTTCTAAGAAGGAGAAAAGAGAAGATCAAGGAATTTCAGACTTTATACAAAGGCAGAAGCAAAAAAGGAGAGTTCTCTGTGTATAAGCAAATACTCATAAATACGTATGCTTTAAAAAGCCCAAGTAAAACATACTGTATCCCATTAGGTCAAACTTTATTCCCTTGGACAGTCTTCTGTCCACTCCTTAGACAAATTGCTGGTTTCCTATGCACCCAGTTCCTGGTTCTCATTCAGATTCTGGGCTGGCGAAGAGAAGTTCACATTCCTCAATGTCATAGACTGAGAGTACCTGCCTCATACTAGTCATCCTGGAAGTTGTACATTTACTGTGTGATTAAAAAGGAAGACACTGTAGGCAATTACCTTCCTTTTTTGTCTTGGGATTTTCTGTCCCATTCCTGAACTGCTGAAATTTGAATCTGACCACCACTGGAGTGAACCACTGGCATGGCTTCACTAAAACCTGCACAACTGCAGTACTCCACTTTGGCATTACAGGCTAGTTTGGCCAATTAGCACACAACCATAAATGTAGACATGTACTTCCCACACAGGTAAAACTGTTTGGGTAGCACATAGTAATAGCTTGTGAAATTTATATCATTTCATTTGAAGAATTTTTACTATAATTAGTGGTTATAATTCTCCTTCTACTTAATGAACATAGAAAACTGAGGTTTACAAGTTAGAAAGGATTCAAACTGTTGTCCTAATTTCAGCATCCATGACAGATTCAGGTCATTGAATGGTTTAATTAACTTTGTGTCTATTGCTGAGGTGAAAACCTAAGATCTAGCAAAATATAACTAATCCAGTGGCAATAGGAGCTTTCTCTTGCTTATGAAGACCACAATAATGTGTGACAAATAAATATGGGTGAGTGGAATACAAAATCATCAAATGTAGTTTGCTGAAAGTACCTGGGAATATATACCACTAACAGGATCAACCTATCTCTGGCAGGGACAATATGGGGATTCCCATCTAAACCTGAGTAAGTTCAGGTTTATAAGATGTGAGTAACTATGGCAAACTGAACCATTAAATGAAATACATTACTGTACATCTGTGACCAAATAAGAAAGTGATTTTGAGATTTGCTTTTTAAGCTTCTGAAGAAGTTAATGTACCTAAATATGGATGGAAACAATTTGGTAGAGATTCCTTCAGAACTACCATCTACATTAGAAGAACTTAAAATCAATGAGAACAATCTTCAGGCTATTAATGAAGAAAGTTTATCAGGTATTTATCAGCATGTGGTTTTATATGTGTCCTTATAACTTTCTTCTGTAGTCATGTAGGAATTTTAATTGCAGTATTGCCAAATAAGTAGCAAGGTTTTTAAGGTCACTTTATCATTGAAGTTGATAAAACTTATTTTGATAAAACTTATTTTAACTAGTGAAATTCTTAAAATATATTTTAAACTGCCTGTTGTCTGTAAAAGTACTATAAATACATATGAAACTCACAATGATTTCAGGTTCTCATCATTTACAATACATTGACTAAACTCCAAATCTTTAATATCCTGAGTTACATAACTTTGGACACAGCCATGTATTCTGGTGCTGTGTCTGTACTGATGTTTTTGGTGGTTAGTAGTGATAATGCTGTACCATGGCTGGTTGACTGGGTCTCCTTTATCAGTCTTAGATGCTCCATACACCACAGCCACATCTCCTGCTGCCTCCACAGTTTGCTATTTTAATTTATCATGTGTTGGCACATAAGAATTATATATCAAATATGAGTAAGTGGCCACTATATGTGAGGCCAAGGGGCTATCCTATAATCACTAACTATAGCACATGCACTCGATGCCAGAAACTTTGGCTTTGAAAGTCTTGTTCCCAAGGGTGTATGGCTGTCGCCATGACAGTCTGGCTTTCTTATGAATGAGCTTTAGTGAAGGTGCCCCATGTTCCACATATTTAATATACCTAGAATTGTATCCTTATAGTTGTTTCTAGACGAAGCTGGGGAACTAAAGTTGCCATATTATCAACTCTGTATAAAAGAGGCAGTATTACATTTAGCTTTTCATGAACTCTAGCTAATGTTTTTAATTAAATTATATTTTTCCTTAAAAAAAAGACCTAATTTTTTGTGTTTTATCTTTGAAACTGTCTAATGTAACTCTTGAGGTATAGTGCTCTACACTTTTGATTTTATTTGCAATATATTTATTATGCTAATGTTTATTACCCAAGCCTTCAAAGGATTAAAACAATTCAATTATTTCCTTTCGCTCCCAAAAAACTTCACAGGAAGAAAACACTTCTGGTAGTGGGGGAAAAAATAATAGTGAGAATGGCCAAATCTAAGGATTCTAGAGTTATGGAAATACCCCATTTTGAGGTGAATTTCAGGATACACAAGAAAACCAATAATAAATACAAATTTTGATGAGCTTCGTAATATGGAAAAGATATTAAAAAATTCAATTTCTAACTGCTAGAAATGGACTAAAAGAATATTTATTTTAAAAGAAGTGTACTACTAATGGGCTGTATGTGAACTACATCTGAGATCATGTTTCTCCTGTGTTATCAAATGACGTGTTAGAAAACTAAGTCCATATTTAGAAACTGCTCTCACACCTTCCTGCAACTGCTTCTATGCTCTTCCCCCTCACAAACAAATGTTTCCACAGCTCCAGAGGGTTGACTGTGGCCCAGAGTGAAATGGCCTCCTACATACTCCCTTCCTCTCTTCACAGTCCCAGTATTGCAGAGGCCTCAGACCTGTGCAGGTGGCCACTAAGAAGGCTTTCCACTCTCATCTTGCCCACAGAGCCCCCTGTACTCTGTGTGGTCTTGCTCTTTTTCTCTTTGGGGTACATTTTAGTCCTGCTCCAGTGCCAACCCCTCAGGTACTGGGATCTCTCTTTACTGCTGTAATCACTGAGGCTCCTCAGCTCCTGTGAGTCTTGTGGTCATAGATGATCAGGCTGACTGGCAGCAAGCAGGCTGAGCCTGAAGAAAGGCCAACATTAGTGCTGTGAGACTGATTTTTCAAGGTGGAAGCCCACTGCTTAGCCATCAGTGGCCTGTTGTTCTTCTATTATCTCTTGCGGCAGGTCTCCACCGATGACCTTTCAGGTTATGTATAGTTTTAGGGAAGTGGGAAAGAAACACACTTCAGGGAGAGAAGCAGCATGTACAAAAGCATGGAGAAACAAAACAATCTGGATGCCATAGGAAATACATGCAGTTCCAGTTCTGTGAGTCAGTCATTCTGGGTGTGATGAGCAGGAGATCTCATGAAGTGGTGGGCAGGGACCAGACAAAGAAGAGCTGTACCTGCTCTGCCCAGACACAGAGTTCACTAGGGATTTGCTGAGATTATGCAAATCTAGGGAGAAACCTACTAGGGAGAAATGAAGGGTCTTATAATTGAGGGAGAGGAGTGAAAGGAGGGACAGCAGAAGAAAACTGGATGTGCTTAAAAATGTCTACCCACATCTATAACCTGTCATGTCATTTTCCCAGCTCACCCAGAAATGACTTCACACTTGCTCTCTGCTAATAAATCCTCTTTCTACCCCAAGTCTAACCTATAAGAACCCTTTCAATCTTTTCTAACTCTATCTCATTTCCTGTTACATACAATAACACACATGTGTTTTCTACATGTATAATATACACATAAATGAGAGAATTGTAAAGTGATGTATAATATTGTGTATGTGAATTGTGTATTATGTTTCTTCTGAGTTCATGTAATAACCATTTGTGTACTTCTACTATCTACTATCTTAGAAATTTTCAATGGAAAACTTCTATTATGTTTCCAAACCTGAACTTTGTGCTAGATAAATATGCTGAATTCTCAGTATCTTCAGTTTTGGAAAAAGAGAATATGAGGAAATAAAATCACTTTTTAGAGTTTACAAGTTGGCCTCTCTAATTCCTGTCTCTCAGCACTTCAATTGATCCTAAACACCACCAGCTAAGCCATGCTCGCACTCCCATACCACTCAAATCTACACAGCTGTCTCCTCTATACCATCTTCCAGTGTCTATGATCTGCACTCTGGAGTCTTGCTTCTCTGATAGGCCTAGAAGGAAGAAATGAGTTACACTGAGCATTTAGGGCAATGCCTGTTGACTTGAGTTGAATATGAAAACATCTCCTATTCTGGAAATCTTGGCCACTGAACAAACTGCAAAGCTACACCCTGTATGTCTGACTCAGATACTTCTGGCAATCATCACTGCTGACCAGCCCATTCTTCTTTAAGTTTCCAATTAATTTGTATCATACCACTCCTGAGGCCAGTAGAAACAATTTGGAGAAAACTTGTTTGTATAAACGTCTTTTTTGGCAGGACACTCTGAATGCATGGAGAAATTTTGATAATTTTCCTTCCAAAACATTTACTTGGCTGTATTCTTTGCCAGGAAATGAACATTGTGATGGAAATTCAGTGCTGCATGTTCAAAAACTGAGAGTTTGCCAGGCAAAGAGCTCTCCTCCTTTGTCTTGGAAAAGGAATCGTTGCACTACACTCCTTATCTATCTCAAATTATGACCCCATTTAATACCCACCTGTCTTTAAAAATGCTTCAAATGACCTTCCACAACCTTCAACTTCTTGCACAACTGTGTTCCAAGTTCCTGCTTGGCCATCGCTGCCCCCTCCAACTGTCCCCCCATCCCTTAGAGTGTGTATTTTGATTACACAGCATTAACAATGGTTTCTCTTTAGGCCTGCCTCTCCATGGGACCATACATTCAGTATTCAGTCTGGGCTGAACTAAGCATTTAGAACAGGGGTGTCAAACTCATTTTCACCAGGGGCCACATCAGCCTTGTAGTTGTCTTCACAGGGCAGAAATAATTGTAGGACTATATAAATGTAACTACTCCTTAACTGTTAAGGAGTCAAAATTACATTTAGCCCTTCGAAGGCAACCACAAGGTTATGTGGTCCTGGTGAAAACAAATTTGACACCCCTGATTTAGAATGTGCAAAGTACTTGGAAAGAGGCTCTCTAGGGAGATACAAGAAAGAAACTACAATATCTGTCCTCCAAATAAACTGAACACTTCACACAACATTTTGAAAGGTTATAGAAACTGTACGGTTTTACAGTTACTATCCTAATACTCCAAATAATTCTTTTTTTTTTTTTGTAGATTTAAATCAATTGGTTACCTTAGAACTGGAAGGAAATGATCTCAGTGAAACCAATGTCGATCCTTTAGCTTTCAAACCTTTGAAGAGCCTATCTTACCTGCGTCTAGGAAGAAATAAATTTAGAATTATACCACAGGGTCTTCCTGCTTCTCTTGAGGTACCCATATCTTTCTGTGAATATTTTATATTTTAAATACAGTATGCTACGAAAATAAATATATTTAAGACATTATTGTGATGAATATTAAACTCAGTAGTTTTGATGCTGTATATGGAACTTGCTATAATTTGAATATTTTTCTCTTCATATGACATGAAGTTATGAATTAAAGTTATAATTATGAGCAGAGACTTTTTAAAAAGTAACAAATGGTCCTATTGACAGCTCCTCAGGAGAAACTGGGGAAATGCACTAAGAATTTAAACAGAAATTATGACTTGCAAAATAGTTTTAACTGTCCTAAATTGTGATGATCATCCCAGTCTGCTCCACCCAGAACCCCCCATGAACTAACAGTGACCCTACATGGATGGACAAAATCTACAGAGAAGGGTACCAACTGTGCCTACAGCCCCCTAATTTACTAGTTCTGACCAGCTCCTCCCAAAGGCCCAAGTGATGTTCTGTTTTCACCCTCTGCCGATGCCCCTGCTGCAGCGAAGTGTGGTCTCCTTTGCTTTGGCAAGGAACACACTTAACTAAAGAGGACTCCTGGTGGTCTTGCTACTAAGGGTACACCCCAAGTTCCTGAATCAAATACACAAAGGTCTAGCAAACCCAGCTGGAACCCAGGCCATCTCCTCTGAGCTCCATTTCTACCATACAGTAGATCACTCGACAAGAAGGAAGGACGAGGTTTTCCACAGCTATGGACCCAGCAGGCCAAGACGGGGCCATTGATCTCCATCTGATGCTCTTTCTGCCACAGTTACTACCCTTCCTCTTTCTCCTATTTGCAGATTAAGATGTAACATCAGAATTTATCAGAATAGTAAAGATCAAGATTCCAATACCAGGCTTATAATCATTATCACTTAGATTCTAAAGAAATACAGACTCCTGGACTTATTCCAGACATGCTAAATCAGGCTCTTTGTAGGGTGGAATTAGCAATTTGTAACTTTTAAAAAATTAAAGTTTTCAATACATAAAGTTTTCAATGCACACAGTAAAACACACAAATATATACATAGGTGTGTGAGCACACACCTTGAAAAATACAAAGAACAATGTGTCTCCACCCTATATCTAATCCTTCCACCCTTCCTTTCTCTTTCCAAAGGACTTTTCTCACTAACTTGAGAAGTGCTGTCCACACAGTCACTTGTGCTCTGAATCCATCCAAGGCACAGCTTCAGACCAGCAATTTCAATGTATGGATAACTGAGTTTTTACTGGGGTACATTTAGGTTGAAATTTATACTTTAAAAAGCTCACAAGTGCCCAGGTCAAGTGGCTCAGTTGGTTGGAGCATCATCCCATACCTCAAAAGGTTATGGCATTGATATCTGGTCGGGATTCCTGGTCAGGATCCTTGGTCAGGATACATGCAGGAGGCAACCAACTGATGTTTCTCTTTCATATTGATGTTTCTCACTATCTGTCTCCCTTCCTCTCTCTAAAAATCAGTAACTATATCCTTGGGTGTGGAATAAAAAATAAAAAAAAAATAAAGAGCTCACAAGTATTGTATTATACAAGGTTGTAAACCACTAATCTAGTTGACCTCTAAATACATATGAGGTAAATGAACTTATTTGGAAGAGCAGTAAAAGACTCTTTAGATAATACTAACGAGAATAGTTTGTAATACCACTTTAATTTCTGGAAAATTGAGTATATTCATCAACTAACAAGAAGAAAAATACATATTTTCTTTTAATTATAGGAATTATACCTAGAAAATAACCAAATTGAAGAAATAACTGAAATTTGTTTCAATCATACCAGAAGTATCAATGTCATTGTACTATGTTATAATAAAATTGAAGAAAACAGGATTGCTCCTTTGGCCTGGATAAACCAAGAGTAAGTATATGCTATAATTAGACTTTAGACAATTTCTTCCTTTTGCCATTATTAAAGAAGGTATGGCCATGGAGATATGAGGGAGGTGACAGTATCTTTTCTTAGTGACTCTCCCCCTCCCCCAAACTTAGGTACTTTCATGGAGTTCAGACCAATGATGATATGACTGGTGTTAGGATGACCACAATCACTGCTGTGGACACCTTACCACATGCAAGTGTTCTGCCAGCCACAACTGAGCCTGTGCAGTGGGACCTGGGGTCTAGCCACCATGACACTTTCACTCTGTTGACTTCACAGGGTACTCATGGAGTTTAAGTGAGATAACCCCCTGCAAAGGCTGAGGAAGGAAACTGCCCTTCTTCATTAACCCCCTTAAGTAAAAGCATAAGACTTCACTGTCCTACAACCATACTGTCTATTTCTCCAAACAATTTCTCTACCTCAAGTCTTACAAAATAGACTGGAGAATGCTTGGCCTGATAGCCCAGACACATAGCAAAGGCCATCTTCTGGAGAGAAATTTGTGGCCCCAGACTGCAGCCCTCACTGAAGGGGCCAGCATAGAGACTTTGCCAGGCAGGAGGTGAAGAATAAGCCACGTGGGAAAGCTAGATTGAGCCCTGTTAGCAGGTCCAGCCTGTGGCAAGGGAACAAGGGATCTGACTAGCACAGTGGGGAAAGGTTTCTTTTAGAAGCATCATGGAGATAAATGAAAAGTGTGGGTGGCCAACTGGGTTTATCAGTATGTGGTGGTGGAAGGTGACTAAGTCTTCATCAGGTACCAAGTCTTCATGGGTAGGCAGAGGCTGTAGGTGAGGCGCCTGAAACCAATCAGGTAGCTCATATTTCCTGATCTTCTGGGGCCAGTGAACAAGCTTTTCTAGACTCCTCAGTCTCACTCCATGTCCCAGGTGCCAGATCATTAGATCAAATTGGAATGAGAATACAAAAACTCTACAACATTGCCACTTCTTTGATAGGACTATCAAAGATTTTAGGAATAGGCAATATGATGTTGGCTAGAATTCTTGGGATTTCATTTCTGATCCAAGTTTGATCTTAGAAATATTTGGGGACCTCTTTGAGCCTCACCATTACCTCTAGGATACGAGTTTTTCTCTCTGAACTCTGGTGCTCCTCTCTGGTGGAACTACAGCAGGTGTGTGGTGCCCAGGTAAGAGCACACACCTTGAGTCAAGCTGTCACAGAGCCACTGTTGCACTGGGAATCATTACAGCACACCAAGTGCTGGCAGAAAATCAGAAAGTATCCTCAGTGGCTTCGTCAAAACTAGAGCTTACAGCCACTTCCCTGATGTTCTACCCTGTTTATTCTTTGCTTTGCTGCAGAAATCTAGAATCAATTGACCTTTCCTACAACAAGCTCTACCAGGTCCCCTCCTACCTCCCCAAGTCACTGCTGCACCTTGTGCTCTTGGGAAACAGGATTGAGCGCATCCCTGGCTACGTGTTTGGCCACATGCAGCCAGGCCTGGAATACCTGTATCTATCATTCAACAAACTCTCTGATGATGGCGTGGACCGAGTCTCCTTCTACGGGGCTTATCATTCTCTGAGAGAGCTGTTTCTGGATCACAATGACTTAAAATCTATACCACCAGGGGTCCGGGAAATGAAAGCACTACATTTCTTGAGGATGAACAACAACAAGATACGGTAAATTCTGGCTTTTTCAGGTATCCATTTACATTACTGTGATTGACAAAAATACATGATTAAATTACTATGACATGATGTCTGGGATTTACTGTAAGGAAGAAAGTGAGAAGAACTGCATTAAACAATATTGGTAAACATTAATAATTGTTGAAGCCAAAAGATAATAGGTACATAAAAATTCATAATGTTTCTCTACTTTTGTATATATTTGCATACTTCCATAGTAATTTTTTAAAACAGAGTACTATTACATAATACTTAAAACCTCAAAGACAGGCTGAAATGACGCATATCAAGGTATTAGATGACAGTGCTTCTCCCACCTTCACACATTATTATTATAAACACTCTAATTTGTAGAACCCAAAATCTAAATATATGCTAAAATTAAAACTGCTTCTATCTAAATTCTCCTGAAGGTAAAACTAAATAAGTTTATGGAGATTCACCTTCCCTCACTTGTCGAGACACAATTTTCTGCATGTTCTGTCTGCCCAGAAAGCATTAACAAGAGAGGCAGATCACTGAGCTCTGGGGCCTTGTCCATAAAGATTACATCCTTATTCTTTTCCCATTCTCTAAAATTCCACACACATTTAAACTCTCCCCAAAACACGACAGAGAAAGAGTTAAGGGTTTCTAAAAGTCCTGACAGAAGAAGTCAGGGATAGGTAGGGAGGTTCGGTAAGATTTGCTTTCAAAATATTTGGCTAAGATACTCCATAAGTCATCCTGTGTGCTTGCTTCCTATTACACTGCAACAGGATGCATGTGTGTGTTTGCACCACTTCTGGTGGGATTTAGGTGGTCATGGTCTAACATTTCCATTATAACCTTTCTCCTCCACCACTGAACCAATGGTTTCATTCACAGATCACTATTGCTTGAGTCTGCTCTTTTCTATTTCTCAAGTATATGTTATTGATCATGCAATTACACTTGTCCCAATTTTTGGCCCTTTGCCCCACTCCATCTAGTACCCACTTCCCTCCAGGAATCTGCCGCCCGTTCTTAGTTCATGTCTGTGGGTCATGCATATAAATTCTTTGGCTTGTCCATTTCCTATACCATTCTTAACATACCACTGTTTATTTTGTAGCTACCAAATTATGCTTCTTATTCCCTTTACCTTTCCCCCATTCTCTACTCTCTGCCTCCCCACTGATAACCCTTTATGTGATCTCTATTTCTGTGATTCTGTTCCTGTTCTAGTTGTTTCCTTAGTTTTTTGTTTTTGTTGTTTTTAGATTCAATTGTTGATAGATGTTTGTTGTCATTTTCCTGTTCATATTTTTGGTCATCTTCTTTTTTCTTGGAAAAGTCCCTTTAACATTTCATATTATAAGGGCTTGGTGATGATGAACTCCTTTAACATGACCTTATCTGGAAGCACTTTATCTGCCCTTCCATTCTAAATGATGGCTTTGCTGAATAGAGCAATCTTGGATGTAGGTCCTTGGCTTTTATGACTTGGAATACTTCTTTCCAGCTTCTCTTGCCTGCAACGTTTCTTTTGAGAAATCAACCAACATTCCTATGGGAACTCCTTTGTTGGTAACTCTCTCATTTTCTCTGGCTGCTTTTAAGATTCTCTTTGTCTTTAACCTTTGGCATTTTAATTATGATGTGTCTTGGGGTTTCTCTCTTTGGGTCCAACTTCTTTGGGCCTCTCTGTGCTTCCTGGACTTGTATGTCTATTTCCTTCACCAAATTAGGGAAGTTTCCGTCCATTATTTTTCAAATAAGTTTTTTATTTCTTGCTCTTCCTCTTCTCCTTCTGGCATCTCTATGATTCTGATCTTGGATATTTGGGGATGTCCCAGAGTCTTCTTATACTCTCATTTTTTTTTAAAATTCTTGTTTCTTCTTTCTGTTCTGGTTGATTGTTTATTTCTTCCTTATGTTCCAAATTGTTGATTTGACCCCCAGCTTCCTTCCCTTGACTGTTGGTTCCCTGTGGGTTTTTCTTTGTTTCACTTAGTATAGCTTTCATTTCTTTTCTTATATTTTTGCCATACTCAACAATTCCTCTGAGCATCCTTATCATCAGTGTTTTCAACTCTGCAACTGATAAATTGGCTATCTCCATTTTGCTTGGTTTTCTGGAGTTTTGATCTGTTCTTTTATTTGGGCCATATTTCTTTGTCTCCCAAACTTGGCAGTGTCTCTTTATTTCTGTGTATTAGGTAGAGCTGCTTTGATTCCCTAAGTACACCAGATAAATTATAAGGGGCAAAGCCTCAGGTATTTGCCACAGTGGGGCAACCTGCTTTATCACTTTGTAGCACTGTGTGTGGGGGGACGAGTTAGAGAGGGGACAATGGCACTGCCTGGCCCCTGTTAAAGTTATATGATTTGCCCCATTTCCAGTCACTTCAACCACTTTCCGTTTGCAACTGGCTCCCCTTTACCTGTTGCCCTGGTAATGACTCCCAGAGCGGGTAGAGGTGTGGGGACATTCTAGGACCCAGCAGGCCCTTTAAGTGGACTCTGTTGAAACCAGCAGTTTCTTCTGCTACCCCAATCCCCACTGGTTTCATAGTGAGACGTTATGAGGTTCTATGTTCCTGGCGCTGCAATGCTGGGCTATGGTGGTCTGGCCAAAGGGCCGGGATCATTCACAATCAAGGTATCCCTCCCGATTTTTATCTACCACACTCGAATGTGGGACTGTTGGTTGTGCTGTTTGTGCTGCACCATGTCCTCTCTGCCCTAGGTGCCTGTCTCCACCCCTTCTACCCATTTGGATGAATGTAGCTTCTTTAAATGCTTGGTTGTTGGATTTCCATACAGTTCACTTTTCTCAATATTTTTTGTTTTGAGGTTAGTTGTGATTCTTCTTGGGGTTGTGCAGGAAGGCAAAGTGAGTCTACCTATGCCTTCATCTTGACTGGAAGTCTCAAGTCTGTTATTTTCCTAAGGGTAACAAAATGCTAAGTTTCTATATTTGTCATTCTTTCCATATTTGACAGCTAGAATACCTCTGTAAAGAAATTTTTCTTATCAAGAAAGGCCACTTTTGTTACTCTGAAGTGTAGGATAATGATCAGTTATTTCCTTTAAGCTGCCAGAGTAAGAAGTTGGCTACAAATTTGTAACTGTGAGAGGTGATGGGTGTTAACTAAACTAATGGCAATCATTTCCCAATATATACATACATTGATTCATTATGCTGTACACCTTAAACTAATACAATAATTTATCTTTAGAAAATGAGGAAATTATATATATAAAAAAACATAAAATATATTAAAGTGTTAACAGTGGCTATCTTAGGGGAAAATGGTGATTGAGTGTTTTTGTTTTATTATTTTGCTTTTGGCTTGCTTTCTCTCTCTCTCTCTCTCTCTCTCTCTCTCTCTCTCTCTGGAGAAGCAACATGAACTTATGGTTTTACATGTTCAAAATGTTTCACTCAATTGCAGTTACTGCTCTTAAAGTGTCCCATCTTTGGCCAATGGTAGCCCTTCAAGCTGGCTCCCATGTCTTTAGACAGGCCTCCATTGATCTTAGCTCACTTTTACATTTCCTACTGGATACCTGTGCCAACCTTTCTCCAAAGAGCCTGAGCTCCTCTCACAGGGGAATAGTATTCAGAGGACCCAATCTGCATACCAGGCATGTTACCCCCAAATGTGTTATTACAGTATTGAAGAATTTTAGTGGACTGCTAGAAAACATGCATTTTTGTAAACAGGAAGAGTGATTTCATAATGACATTCCCAATTCTAACTTAACATTATAGAGTATTCCTTTTATTTTAAATTTATCTTACACTGAAAATCTAGGTTCTGAACAGTATTAACTTACATTTGTTATTATAATATATAAATAACAGTTTTAAAATGACGATACCATTATTACAACTAACAACAAAACAGTTTATGTTTTTGGTAGCTCCATTTGTCTTTGGAGTATGTTGTACAAAGGATGCATAGCTGAAATAAAGTGGTATTCTCTCTAATAATATGTCAACAACTTAATGCATACTCAGAAAAGGTCTCTTTCTTGGTTTTTAGGAATTGTTATGTTCTAGTTCATTAATATTATTTTTACTATGTTAAAGTTATACGATTTCAAAGTCAAAACTGCATAACAATGTATATTACAAGAAGTCTTTCTCTCCTATGTCTGTCTCTTACACTGTAATCCATCCTTCCCCACAGGTTGAATTTTTTAATTAACTTCTAGTTTAACCTTCCAGTATTTCTTTTTGCAAATATAAGCATGCATATATACTCATCCATATTCCCCCATCCCCTCCAACAATTGCTATACAAATATTACACAAAAGGACTTTTCCTCTTTGGAAAGAAAGCATGTGTTTATTTGCACTCTTTACTTTTTAAAATTAGCAGCATGTTACGGATATTATTTCCTAACAAAAAATGGAGAATTTCCTCATTCCTTTTTACAACTGAATAGTATTACACTTTACAGATATTTTATTCAACCAGTACCTTATTGATAGAAATTTGATTGTTTCTATTCTTTTATTACTACAAATAATGTCACATGCATAACTTTATTTTGTATTTTTCCAGTCTAACTTTGGGATAAATCCCTAAAAGTGAGATTGCTGGGTGAAAAAAGGAAAATGCACATGTAATTTTGCTAGCTACTGCAAAATTCCTTTTGATGGGACTATCTTCTTATGAACTCCTTTCATGGGTGCTTGGTCTTACACAGGCTCACTGTCAGAACATGTTGATGAGCTTTTGAACTCTTTTTGTAGAAAATCTGGTGACAATGGTCTGTCACTATACTTTGAATTTGTAGATTTCTGTTATCATGAATGAAATTGAGCATCTTTTCAGGATTATACATCATTTCATTTTTTTCTTTTGTGAACTAGTTATTTCATTCTTTTTCTTTTCTATTTTCATCTGCATTTTGAGGTCTTTATACATTATCCCTTTATCTATAAGTTGCAAATATTTTCTCCTAGTATGCCATTTGTCTTTTAACTTAATTTTTTAAAAATATATTTTATTGAT